ACAGTGTACCACATTGATCGCCCAAGATATACTAGACAACATAGATTATGCGCCCCAGATTGCACCACATAGCTTGTACCACATATAACAATCAGCATCGATTGCGCAACATAGGTTGCACATCATCTATATATATATACACATGTTATATAGGTATATATATTATATTATAGCAGGTCATATTATATCATATCATAGTATACTAGATTATGATATATTGTAATATATTATATCATATCATATCATATTATATTATATTATATTTTGTTATGGTATATTGTATGTTATTACATTGCATCATATTATATTGAGTATATCATATCATACTGTATGGTATTATAGTATATTAAATCATGCTATATTATATTATATCATATTATAATATGTCATACGATACTATATTATAGTGCATTATATTATACTATATTGTACTATATTTTTTAATGTATCATACTATATTATATTATGTCATAGCATTTTATATTATATTACATTATGCCATATCATTTTGTATAATGGTTTATTATATATATGTTGCACCACATTTGCTGCTCCACATAAGTTGCACACCATACTTTGCAGCACTTTGATTGCTCGACGTAGATTGCATCACGTATATTGCACGGCATTGGCTGCACATTTCCCAATCGAGTTCCCAAACCACATACAAAACCACAGGGTTTCGCAACACTGATTTGCAAAAAAAACTTCCGCGCGAGCTCTTGCGAAATCTTAAGAAAACCATAGGGTTTTCAAGCTTTTTCGCCAAATGCGGTTACACGGTCTTCGCGCGCGCGCATGTCGAAATCTGTCGAACGCCCTTGCGCGTGTGCCGTCGCGAGAATACTATGCAAAACATGTGACGAAGTGCAGACGCGCGCGTCGTCGCGCGCGTAGGCCGAAAACCTTCAAAACCCATCGGTTTCGGAAGGATTTCAAAATCGCGTGCCCCAAAAAACCCACCAAAAAAAAACCCAAGGTTTCGCAACACGGATTTTCAACAAAAGCGTGTGCGCGCGCGCTTTTGCGTCGTCGTCGTCCTCCTCCTCCTCCTCCTCCCGCGTCGACGTCGTCGGCGTCGCCTACGTCGTCCTCTGTCTTTCCTCGTGTTCGTCGTCGTCGTCTTCTTTGGCGTCGTGGTCGTTTCCGTCGTCGTTGTCGCCGTGGTCGTCCTTCCTCCTCCTCCCTCGTCGTCGTCGTCGTCGTCCGTCGTCGGCGTCTCGTCGTCGTCCCTCCTATTTCGTCGCCGTCGTCGTCGTCGTCGTCGTTCGTCGTCGTCTTCCCTCCTCCCTCGTCGTTGTCGTCGTCGGCGTCGCCGTCCTTCCTCCTTCTTCGTCGTTTGCGTCGTCGCCGTCCTCCCTCCTCCCTCGTCGTTGTCGTCGGTGTCGTCGTTGTCGCCGTCGTCGTCCTCCCTCCTCCCTCGTCGTCGTCTTTGTTGGCGACGTCGTCGTCGTCGTCGGCGTCGGCGTCGGCGTCGTCGTCGTCGTCGTCGTCGGTGTCGTCGTTGTCGCCGCCGTCGTCGTCGTCGTCGTCGTCGGCGGCGTTGACGTCGTCGTCGTCGGTGTCGTCGTTGGCGTCGTCGTCGTCATCGTTGTCGTCGTTGTCATCGTCGTCGTCGTCGGTGGCGGCGTCGTCGTCGTCGTCGGTGTCGTCGTCGTCGTCGTTGTCGGCGTCGTCGTCGTCGTCGGTGTCGCTGTCGTCGTCGGCGTCGCTGTCGTTGCCAAGTGCCATGTGGTACCCACCGTCACGGTCTTAAGAGATTTTGCAAGCCAAGTTGCGGGTGGGTGGGTGGGATGTTTGTGCGAGCAGTGGGGTGGACAAATCATTGCGGACAGAAATTAGCTGCACCCTATTAATCGCACCAGCCATAGTGACTCACGTATATGCCGCTACAGATGTTGCAAAGCGCAGATAGCACCACAAATTTTGCATCACGTAGATTGATTGCACTACGTAGTTTACATACAATATTTCGCACATTACATGTTGCACACACCAGGCAGCACACCAGTTGCGGCACCACCTACTTTGCAAATAACAGATTGCACACCCGATACTGCACACGCAGATTGTAGCACATAGGTTGCAATGCATATATATATATACATATATACATGTATTGCGCAACAGTCGCCGCACCGTAGATATTGCACAACAAATGTTGCACAACCGAGGTTGCACCATATATATATATATATATACATATATATATTGCACAGTACACATTGCACGCCATATATCGCACACAACAACATGCGCACCACAGATTGTACAACATAGGCTACACACAACATATTGCATAGCCAAGACTGCACCACATGTATTGCACCACCCAGGTTGCACAATCTAGATTGCACCAAATATATGGTGTTAGAAACACTCTGTATGGGGCCCACGCGGAGTAGCACATTCTCATGTATGTATACGTGTATATATATATATATACACAGGGATTCTCCAATTACTGCTTGCGTTTAGGGGCCCTACTTCTGTTCTACAGAGCTGGGCCGTGTCTTCGGTCTGGCGGCTACGTGGCCGCCGTAGCCGCCCCGTCGCTGCCTTCTCGCCGCTCGTCGTCTGGGTCGTGTCTTCGGTCTGGCCGCTATGTTGCCGCCCCCGCCGCCCCGTCGCCGCCTCGTCACCGCCCGTCGTCTGGGCCGTGCCTTCGGTCTGGCGGCTATGTGGCCGCCGTCGCCGCCACTGAGTTGCTCCGCATAGATCGCACAGCATAGGCTGCACCACATACGCGGCACAACATATTTTGCACCGCATAGATTGCACACAATTATATTGCCCAACGAAGATTTCACAGCAAACGCTGTACGACATAGATTGCACCACACACACACACATTGCACAACATAGATTGCACAACATAGACTGCAAACACGTTTTGCACCACCTATGATGCACCACATCTAGTTCTCAAGATATATTGCACCACATAGGTTGCGGCACATATATTGCTCCACAGACATCGCACAACATGTATATGTGTATCTATACACACATTGAGCCGCGTATATTGGGCCCCATTTACTTCACAGCACAGATTGCATAATATAGGCTGCACCCTAATTATATATATATATATATAGAGAGAGAGCGCATTCTAGTGGTGGCGCGACATATACTGCATCGCATACATTGCAGAAGGTATTTGGCACCACAGACTCTGAAAGCCTACATTGCATAACATTGGCTGTCCCACATAGACTGCATAGCGTCTATTACACCGCATAGCATGCACCACATATTGCTCCACATAAGATGCATCACATAAGCTGTACCGCATATATTGCATCACATATATTGCACAACACGTATTGCAGATCGTAGATTGCACACTGCCCCACATAGATAGCACCACATACATTGCTAGAAACAAATTGTTTAGGTCCACGCTGGCTAACAGGTAACAGGACATTGTAGGCTCGCGTGGCTTCGCCATAGCAGCTTGTCCCTCATCCTCATCCTTTGTGCAGGAGCGCGGATGTCGCATCCCACTCCGGGATATGAACGACACAACGGGGTGTGCTCGTGAACTTGATGGTTCTAGGGTGGCATATGTTTTCTTTTGTGTGGTCAACTTGACGGTCTGGGGGGGTACGTTGTGGTTTCAGGGGGGTTCTTACGGTTGGCTTGCGAACAGCATATGTCACGCGTCACGTTTTGTAGTTGCGCTGGTGGTCGGGCTCGTGGTCGTGCTGGTGTGCGTGTTGGAAATCGTGCCAGCATGCTGGTGGTCGTGCTGGTGATGGTGCCGGCGGGTGGTCGTGCTGGTGGTCGTGCTGGTGGTTGTGCTCGAGGTCGTTTGGTGGTACGTCGTGGCTAGCGGTCATGCTGGTGGTCGTGCTGGTGGTCGTGCCAATTGTCGTGCTGGGAGCGCGGAGCCGCCGAGGGGTCGCACCAATTTCTGAGTCGCGTCGACGGCTGTGTCTTTGATCCGGGGGCCGGGATCGGGGACGGTGGGCCCTTCGGGCGGCTTGCGCCGCGGGACCCCGTCGTGAAACACTTCCGAAATGAACGAGTGTGGCCTCTCCAGGCCGTCTTGAGGGTCCTCTTGGGGCCATGTTGGGCTGCTCTGAGGCCCTTTTGTCCGCGTCTTGTGCGGCTTTTGGCCACGTTGGCGCCTTCTTGGGCCCATCTCGGAGCCACCTTGGCCTTGGGCACTCGTGAGGGTTTCTTCGGGCCCACTTGGGGCTTGTTGGGCGCCACGCGGGGCCTTGTCATCCCGTTTTAGAGCCCTCTTGGGCCGTATTGGGGCCCTCTTGAGCCATCTTGAGGCCCTCTTGGCGGCCTTGTCGATTGTCTTGGAGAGATTTGGGAGGCATCTTAGATCGTCTTGGGCCGTGGGAAGCCTGAAGAGGTGAGAAACATGAAAACCAGCAATCATGGAAAGAACCATGTCTGTGGCCTCATGAAGCCCTCTTGAAAGTCATCTGGAGTGCCGTCTTGGGACCTTCTTGGACCGCTTCGATGCCATCATAAATCGTATTGGAACGTTTTTGGGCGGTTTGGGGCTCTCTTGGCTCGCTCTTGGAGCCCTCTCGGAGGCATTCTGGGGCCGGTCGTGACCCGTTCGGGCTGTATTTTCGGGTAGTCTCGGAGCTGTCCCGAGGTCGTCCGGACCTCATCGGAGGGTGCCGAACTAGGTGATGCACATCCAGGGGAGGGTTTCTCTTCAGCATGTGATAGGCAGAAGGAGTATCTCTCTCTCTCTCTCTTTCGGCCTATCCCTCTCTCCTTCCCTTCCTCCCCCCTCCCTCCCTCCTTCTTCTGCTCTCGTTCCTCTCTCTGTCTGCTCCCCCAATGTGGGGAATTCCACTAGCCATCTCAGTGTGGATGCCCCAGGGGAACTGGCTGGGTGGGGGAATCGGTTACATCGCTCTCTCTCTCTCTCTCTGGCATTATCTTTCTCTCTTTTGCTATTTCCTCTTCCCTCCCGTCTTGCCTCGCCACTGTCTTGCCTCGCCGCTTGGGAAAACAGCCGCTCTCAGAAGAGCATCAGTGCGCGCGTGGCCAAGGCGAGCAGATTAAAGATGGGTTCTTGGAGCGAGTGTGATTCAATCACCCCACCCTGCATCCTCCTCATCTTTAATCTCCTCTCCTCCTCTCTCGGTCCTTCTTCTCTTACCCTCCCCCTCATACTCCACCTGGAAAGCGGAGGGAGGAGGAGGAGGCGAAGGAGGAGAAGGAGGAGGAGAAGGACAGAGAGGAAGAAAAAGAGGAGGGTCATACCAGAAGCCGGAAAGCATTGAGTACATAGGGTAAAGAGGGCAGACGGCGGCGGAGGAGGAGGAGGAGGAGGAGGAAGAGGAGGAGGAGGAGCAGGAGGAGGGAGGAAGGAAGGAAGAGAGGGAGGGAGGAAGGGAGGGAGGGAGGGGATGAGGAGGATTAGGAGGAGGAGGAGGAGGAGGGCAGCGGCGGCGGGGCTCGTCAGGAGCATTTGTCAGCTGCCGAGGGCGCTGCGTCAAAAATCTCTGCAGCTCCTCAAGTGCGCCATGCACGCGTGGTTTGGCACATGGGGGGGGGGGGGGGGGGAGTGGCTGGCCTGCTCTCCTCCGCCGTGCCGTGCTGGTGAGTTCTGCCCCCCTCCGCCCCCCCCCCTTCCGCCCGCTGCTCCTCCTCCTCCTCCTCCCCTCCTCCTCCTCCTCGTCCTCCCAGTCAAGCTTGCGGACGGGCTGCCCTCCTCCTCCTCCTCCTCCTCCTCCTCCTCCTCCTCCTCCTCCTCCTCCTCCCCGCACCTCCCGCCGCCCCCCCCTCTGCCACCCGCTCTCGTGTCCTGCTCTCGCCGCTCTTTCGCATGAGGGGGGCTGCGGCAGCCGTACCAACGTCCGATCCTCAACGGCCGTGCTGGCTGCTCACTGCTGCCCGCGAAAGAGGCGGGGGGAGGAGGCGAGAGGAGGAGGAGGAGGAGGAGGAGGAGGAGGAGGAGGAGGAGGAAGAGGAGGAGGAGCAGCAGCAGCAGCAGCAGCAGGTGCAGCAGCAGGAGCAGCAGCAGGAGCAGGAGGTGCAGGAGCAGGATGTACAGGAGCAGGAGGTGCAGGAGCAGGAGCAGGATCAGAAAAAAACAGGAGCGGGAGGACCAACGCAAACCCAAGATGCATCAGCGATGCTGCGATTTACCCTCCCGTCCCAAGTCCCCTCCTCACCTGTCTGTACAAGCCTTCCTTGTCACTTCAGGAAGCACCCCATTGAAAGACCAGCACCCTATGGGCTTCCTTTCAGGCGAGAGCTCGTCTTAAAAAGGGAAGCCCTTGCACCCTTCTAGCACGTCACTTGGAATGCAGAAAGGCATGATCATGCAGTCAGCGAGGCGTCCAGCGAGATGCCCGTTGTTCCCCAATTAGGCTTCTGACGTGTTTTCGAAAGCCGGTCTTGTTCCTTGCCTGTCTTTCTCGGGTTCCCCAGTTTTGTTCTTCGGGTTCTTTGGTCTTCTTCCTTGGGTTCACGGTCCGTGCAATGCCACGCACCGCCGAGCAATGCGAATGAATGCCAAGCATTGCCAAGCAGTGCTGCCAAGCACTGCCGAGCAGCGACAATGGATGCCGAGCAGAGCTGTACCAATCAATGGCAAGCAATGCCAAGCAATGCCCAGCAACGCCTAGCAATGCCAAGCGCAAAGCAACGCAAAGTAATGCAAAGCAATGCCAAGCATTGCCAAGTAACGCCAGGCATCTGCTAAGTAACACTAATCAATGCCGATCACTGTCAAGCAACGCAATACACTGCAAAGCAATGAAATGCAATGACAAGCACTGCCAAGGAGCGCCAAGCAATGCCAAGCAATGCGCCCATGCAGTAGGAAGCTTCCCCTCAGTTGGGTCGCGCCGAGCTTATGAAAGAAAGGTCTCCCTCATCCGTCAAACTGCTTCACAGGCTTCACTTATGGCCATGAAATTCGAGGAAAGTTCCAGCGAGAGCACCATTATGGAAAGGAAGCGCCCTCCATCCCTGCAGCTGCTACATATATTGAGCACTCTTGTCTCATAACTTGAGGAAGTCTCAAGTGAGAGCCCTCTTTCGACAAGGAGCCGCGATCCATAGTTGTTGTAAGTGTTGTAAGTTTTAAAGACGAATGTGCGCGGTGCTAATGCGAACGCTCCATTTTGAAACATCACCCCTTTCATTCGCGTACCGATTGCGCGCGGCGAGAGGGCGAGAACTCCAATTCAAAAATGGCTTGCGTTCCATTATTGTAGTTGTTGCACACGTTTAAGACGAAAGCGCGCGGCTCTAAGGCGAGAGTTCCGTTTTGAACACGCACGAGCTCCATCTTTGTAATTGCTGCAAGCTCTTATGATGGCGGCAGCGTGGTGAGGGGGCGGTGTGGCCTGGTGGCTAGCGGGTGCGCCAGCGAGCCGCCGCCCCAGCGGGGTCCGTTGCGACCCCAGCTGCAGCCGCCAGGGGCCAAGGTGGGTGCTTCGTCTAGGGGCAGAACGCCAATGAGTTGTTTGCATTCGCCTGTCCTTCCAGGGCTTCGACTTCTTGTTGCTCTTGCACGTCACCAGCACCCGCACACGTGCTACATGCTGAGTGCGGTCTCTCCCCCCCTGGGCCTCCCTGCCCGCGCGCTCTCGCCCCGGCGCTCGCCCCCTGTGCCCCAATTCGTCTGCCACTGCGCCCCAGTGCTTTCTGAACGCGTATTGGACCCAAGTCGCCGCCGACCAGAAACTTGCGTTCGCCTGCAGACGGTGGGGGTTCGACTTTTGGGAGGGTCGGATATTCTGGCCCCTCTTCCTTTGCCACCGGTGGGGTGGCGCTGTCGGCGGGGCCGCTGCTCTGGCCGAAGTGCGGTGACTCCTCACCTTAAGTCGGGCCTGTCCTTCAACAGGAGGACAATTCAAAAATGGTCAAAAAATAGTATGTGGACGATTGTTTGAGCATGTTTGTTCTACTTTGGCATATTTTGGGGGTTATTTTTATGTCGTCCTCCAAAATCCGCCTGTATGAGGACATGCCCGACCTGAACCTCACCTCGTCCAGGGCGTCGCCTCCGCGGGCTCGCCAGGGTGGATCCCTGGAGAGCGCTCTGGGGGAGGGCGGGGGCGAAGAGCTCGGGGCTGGCTCGCGGCGGGCTCTGAGCGAGGGGCTAAAGTTAGGTCGGGCATGTCCCCGTACAGGCGGATTCTGGACGAAAATTCGCCAGCCCAACGGGTCAGAGGCGTGCTAAGATCTCCGGTAACAAGTTTGCACTATCACAAGTTCGCGCGCGCGAGGCGGCCTCTGGGGGCCCCGACGCGACAAGTACCCCGCCAAGGTCCCGGCAAGTCCCCGGCAAGTGCCAGTCAAAGATGCCGGAGGCCCCCCAGACGGCCCAAGAGGCGCCCAAAACGACCTCAAGAGAGCGCCCAGACGGTCCAAGAGCCCTTGGAGTCTTCGAAAGATCGGCCGACGATGCCCAAGACGGCCCCACGACTGCCGAAGAGGCCGCCAAGACGCTTCCAACAGCACTTCCGACAGGGCCCCGAGAGGCAAATTCAATGTTTTTGTTCCGTAGGTTTTGGAGAGATTTTGGCGTTTCCGTTTTTCGGCGCCAACACGGCCCAAGAGGCCCCCAAGATCGCTCCAAGAGGGCCCAAGAGGCCCCCAAGAGGGCCCCAAGACGGCCCAAGAGGGCTCCAAGACGGCCCAAGAGGCCTCCAAGACGGCCCAAGAGGGCCCCAAGAACGCTACAAGAGGAGCCCGTGGGGGGGGGGGGGGGGGGGGAACACGAAACAACATTTCGAACCCTCGGCCCTAAGAAGCCCCCAGGAGGCCCCAAGAGGCCCCTCAGAGGCCCCAAGAAGCCCCCAAGAGGCCCTCAGGAGGCCCCAAGAGGCCCCCAAGAGACCTCAGGAGGCCCCCCAAATGCCCCCCCGAGCACGCAAGCAAGTGCCAGCGATGCTACAATATGGGCCGGCGGAATGAGCGAAGCGATTGAATAAAGATAGTCAAGGCGCCGCCAGCCTCTCTCAGAGGCCTCTCCGGGAGCTCACTGACTCGATTTTGGAGGCCTCCAGACGCTCTCCTGGGGCGATTTTGGCCGTCCTCCAGGCCATGTTGGTCCAGTCTGGCAGCCCGCCCACCTCTCCTCGGCCCACTTCGACTACAAAAAAACAACACGCAAAAAACCTCGTAAAGCACATATGATTATGTCCATTCTGGCCTTGTCGAGCCTCTATTCTTGCCTCGTTTCGAGCTCACGTGCGTCTTCGCGGGCTCTTGGAAGCACGTTGAAATCAGCGGGCGCTCTCTGCGGCTGTCCTCCACGCCTCCCGACCCCGGCCCGGGCCGTCTGGCAGCATTTTTGGGGCTTTCTTGTGCCGTCCTGGGCGCGCCCAGGGGGTCCCCGGAGTCCCTTTTGAGGCCCCCAAACTAAGTGGGATCTTGTTTGTACGCCTGTCCGTATGCCTCTTCCTTTCGTCCACACTTTTGCACACCCTCAGGCGTCCTTTTAAAATTATGTTCAGACTCTCTAAGGGCTTTCTGGCGTCTTTTGGGGTCATTTTCTGGCTCTCTGGGGGCTTTCTGAGAGCCTTTAAGACACCACTTTCTCCCACCCCCGCTACATCCCGATTTGCCCCCCACGCAACCTCCGCGTTCCCCCCAAAAAATGGGGCGGCGGTGTCTGCCCCCTCAGGGGCGTTCAATTGAATAAGGATAGTCAAAAATATTCAAAAAAAATTCAAGCAGTCGAAAAATTGTCCCCATATCATTTGTTTGACTATTTTTGAAGATTCGTCCTGTAGAGGGACAGGCCCGACTTAAGGCTAAAGCATTGGCGCTCTCCGCCACAAAAAATGTATACACAGATCAGACACCCTTCAGCGGACTGTTTCTGAACCTCAGGAGAGGGTGCCGGTGTATAAATGAATCACCACTTGGAGCCAGCATTTTTGTATACATCGTCATTCCCTGAAGGTACATGCAGAGTTCCTCGGAGGGTGTCTGTGCATATCTACAGGGACCGACAACAACGATGCTTAGTTAGGTTTCGGCCCTCGTTCTGTTTTTCGTGTTGTTGTTCGTTGTGCTTCCGTTG